TGGCAAGTGCAAGGTCCTACATTTGTCTCCAGGCATGAGAAAGAAAGAAAGAAAGTAGAGGAAAGCAAGAAAGAAAGAAAGAAGAAAGAAAAGAGAAAGAAAAGAGAAAGAAAGAAAGAAAAAGAAAGAAAGAAAGAAAGAAAGAAAGAAAGAAAGAAAGAAAGAAAGAAAAAGAAAAAGTCAATTACACCTGCCCCTTTTCCTAGGCACCTACTTTCTGGTTTGCCAGTCCCACAGTGTCACACTGAAGCAGGGCCCAATTTAGAAGCTGGCTATCAGCCAAGCTCACAAAAGTATTTAACTGAAATAGAGCCAATGTGTACTTAAAAAAAAGTATTCAACTAGATATTCTGATTACTCAAACCAAACTCAAACTGAGAAGCAGTAAAACCTGAGAGCAGCAGTGACCTAGTGCAGTTTAAGCTACACGTGGCCTGGACATGGGAGTCTCGGGGACTCTGGAGCGCAGGCCCTGCCCTGAAGACCACATCTTGATCACATGGGCACATGGCCATGATCCCTTGGGGACAGCAGATGGAAAAGTAGCACAGTCCTAAGACAGCTATGTGGATATAATGTGTCTTTGTAACAGGGTCACTTTCCTGATGTCTAACATGGGTTAAAATCTATCTGACTCCTGAGAAAAGGCCAAGTCCTCAGTGGGTGCTAACCTTTAATATAGTCAACTTGTTGATGCTGAAATTCTCATACATTTAATCTTTTGAGATAAAGGACCTGAATGCACTTTTAAAACAAGAAAGCCAAGTTTAGATAGGATATGACAACCACTGGAAAGTTAGCCTGAGGGTTTGAGGACAGACCCTTACAGTGAGGTAAAATCAGACGCCTCTGAGGTGTTACCTTTACCGTGTGAGGGGGAAGCTGTGGTCCAGGAAGCCCTGCTGCAGCCTGCTTCTCAGTGATACCCCGGGGACTGGTGCCTGGGCAGCGGGAGGACTGGCCATGGCGATGGGTGTGATGCCTAGCAAATTCACTTCCACTTTTCACATCATTGGTCCTAGGGACAAAGAATGAGAGAGAAGGCTTAGGGTGATGGAGGGCATTTTAGTAGAGACAGATTTACAAACTCAGTCCCTCAGGAAGACACTGATGGCAAAGGCACTGATTCTAAGTCACACTGCACAGAGCCACTAGCTGTTTTAGGGGTGCAGGTCAGTGTTGGGGTGCTCAGCTCAGAACACAAGGGCAGCTGGGTAAAGAAAACAGTACTTTTAAACTCTATTCTGATGCTGCTGCTATCAGGATAGTTTCTGTTTGTGTTTCTACATTAAAAATATAGGCCATGGTAGAAAACTTATAGTGTCCAAATATAGGAAAAAAACTGCATTGCCTCCCAGTAGTTCCCCTTTATAGATTATCTCTTCATTTTCACCCAACACCAGTGTTTAATATTTCAAATTGATTTCCCTCCACATACAGTCACCACTTTCCCAAGGCATTTTTAAAAAAGAGTTTGTAACAATTACTCTTAGCAGGTGATGGGCAACACAGCAAGACACTGTCTCAAAAAAGAACAAAAAGAAAAAAATCTTAACAACTGCATAAAATTTCAATGCATCATTTTGTGATTGTTGAGCATTTCATGGTATTCTTAACTTGAAGCTACCATGTTTAAAGACACCCTGGAGGCTGCGGTGTGGCTCAATGGTAATGCCTGCCTAGCTTGCTTGTGGCTCTGGGTTCTATTTCCCAACATGAGAAAAAGGCGGGCGGGGAACACCATGGAGTACACATCAGATTTTTTTCCAAAAGTGGAATTTGTGAGTCAGTTTACAGCTGCAGCAGGATCAATCCAACTGCTGGCCCCAACCCTGGCCAATGTCTAACCAGCACTGTGCTCAGCACTGGGGAGGTGCTGGATGGGACCATGCAGGGTGCTCAGAGCTCCCTTCCTCAGCCCTCTGCCTACAGCCTCCACATCTCCAGGTCCACTCTGTTTGCTGCCAGTAGCATAAGCCACTCCACCCCCTCAGTGGTCACCTTTCCCTGTCTCCACCGCTGTCGGCACTGAGTGCCAAAGACCTGGAAGCTAATGCCAGCTCACAATCCATGCTCAGAAACGGCCTCTTGATTCTCCATGCATGTGGCAGGGTAATCCTTAAATTCTGGTTTTCAGATTTTGTGTTTTAGTTAACAAGGACAGAATAAAAATAAGAAAAAGATGCATTCACACTTTAATTGTAAAATTCCTACCTTTTCCCCCAAAGAACTCTAGTGCTTGCTGTCTTACAGAATCTATGTAAAAGCAATGAGCAAAATCCACATGGCTTACTTTTACATGGCACAAGTAATGGCCCACACGGCAGTTGTATCCTGCGTGGACTAGCACTGCTTACAGAGCATAAATGATGGGTTCTCCATTTGATTGCAACATATATGGCCTAATGTCAAGACATTCAGGATATTTCACTTCCTAAACAGAAATGGACAAAGGAGAAAGGAATGTCACTTCTAAAAGCACAGAAGGCCCCACATGTTGAGGTGGGGGGTATTTATGGTGTCCAGGAGCCCCGCACAACACAGCACAGGGATGTTCCAGCAGAAATCCAGTACACTGAATCACATTTCAGAGGACACAGCCTGGAGGATCCCTGATCTAAGGGTAACTACGGTGTTCTCTCTGTCTTTATTTTCCTTAAACAAGTAAGGATTCATTGGGTCTGGGGATTTAGCTCAGCGGCATAAGCGCCTGCCTTGCAAGCAGGCAGTCGCGAGTTTGATCCCTGGTACCGATAAAAATGAAAAAGACAAAAAAAAAAAAAAAAAAACAAAAAAAAAAACAAGTAAGGATTCACATTAAGTGAATTCTGCAAATCCATGAGATGCAAAAGTCACAAAATGACAACTCTGGACAGTCGCCACCAATTATTTTAATTTTAATTGGTTACTTTGGTTTTTTGAGACAGGGTCTTACTGTGCAGTTCAGGCTGACCTTGAAATCACTATGTAGCCTAAGTTGACCTCAAACTTGCAGCAGTCGTTTTGCCTCAGCCTCCCTAGTGCTGGGATTACAGGCATATGTCTCCACTCAAGGCTATTTTGAGAATTTATTCATTGTTTTTCTCCTATGTAACTGCATTTTTTATTTGTTTCTTGAAATAGGATTCCACTGTGTAGGCCACAGTGGCATTGAACTCACTATATAGCCCAGCATGGCCCCAAACTCCTAATCCTCCTGCCTTAGCCTCCTGAGTACATCATGCCCAGCTTTGTTATTGACTTTTTGATCATGTTCAACTTTTACTAAGTAGGAATAAAATAGGAAAATTCAGTGTAAGTGAAAATCAGAAAACAAGAAGATAAACTTCAATGAAAGAGAGGCAAGATCTAGTGAGAAAGTCCTCTTTGGGCTTCTAATTGTACAAGTTCTCCTTGTACTCACTCATTACTATGGATACCAAAGAACTCCATGAAGCCCAAACCATGCAGCCCAAACACAGATCAGCATTCCCAATTTTATCACTAGACTACTTAGCTCCCAAGAGTATAGTAAATACACATGTACTCATAATCACACAGAGCAAACTATTACCTCAATTCTTTGATTTTTTTTTCCTGCTATTCAATACCAGAAAAGCTCAGAAAGTTAAGCAACCAAATTGTTTGATTAGGTCATTTGTAATGCTTAACAGCTACTGGCATGAAGTCTTGGCTCCATATAAAAGGTTTTTAGTAACATCATCTACATACCTTAGCAATTTTTCCACCAATGGAATTTGCAAACCATTTCAGAGAAAGCATGAGAACATTAGATGACCTAAGAATAGAAAACATCTTGGGAGCTAGAACCATATTTTTGCACCTGGGGGTAAACAGAAACAAAAGATTAAGAAGATTAATGTGTGAATTTTCCGGTGTTTTAGTCTTTCCCTTGCTGTTTCTCTGAAACACCCTAATTCAAAATTCCAAAAAGAGGATAATAGATGAGGGATATCACCCCTCCTCCAATCCAATAGTGAAAATATTTAAATTAAAAATACTGGGGGTAGCCAGGCATGGTGCTATAATCCCAGCACTTGGGAGGCAGAGGCAGGAAGATCACCATGAATTCTAGGCCAGTCTGTACTACAAAGAGAGACCTTGTCTCAAAAAACAAAGCAAAAAACAAAACTGGGAAAAATTGCCTAGTTGCACGACAGGAAAGAAAACCTAATTCTGAAACATCAGGATGTACAGGACATCAATGATGTCAAAAACAGATTAACTGGGGTTGGGGGTGTAGCTCAGAGGTGGGATGCTCGCCTGGCATCCATAAAGCTCTAAGTGTAACCCCTAGCACTGCAGAAAAATAAAATAATAGATTAACTCAATTCAAAAAAAAAAACTGAAAGTGAATTGATGTTTTAGGCTGGTATAATTTTGTGAAAACACAGATCTTCCCAGATACAAAAGAGGAGGGAAAGATAAAAGTGTCAGGAAAAATCTCTAGTCTTGGTGAGAAAAGCACCGTCTTCCCTCAAATACTGAATACTTGACAATAAAAGATTGTTTAATATATATCTCTATCACCTGAAAGTGGAAATTACTTAAAACATATGAAACAAGGATTGTTAAAACACTCCTTTGACTGCCTGGGGAAATGTATCACTGAGTAATGTAGATTAGAGGCTTCCAGCCAACACTACCCCACCCCACGGTACCCACTGTGAGAAAGATCCTCAGCTCTTCTGGGGGAGGAGGGAACCCACCCTCCCTCCCTCCAGTCTTGCCTAACAGGAAGTCAAGGAAGATGCTGCTGAGCAGACGATGTCGCAGCTCTGAGGCATCCAGGGTGGCAGCACTAGTCCCCCAAGGTCCCATCCTGAGACAGTGCGGGCACCAGTTCCGGCCTCCAGGGCACAGATGGCCAAGATCTCCCAGAGGGCACCAGAAGCTAAGGCCACCTAGTGGCCATTCAAACACGCCCACTCTGTAAAACCAGGGCTCCCTGTCACCCCAACTGGAGCAGCCAAGTCAGGGACTGCAAGTCGCCCTGTCATACTTGCTACACTGGTAGCAGTTTCTCCATCCAGCTGTTCTGGCTTCATGAACTGCGCCAAAAGCTTATTAATACTCGGAGCAGCCTGGGAGGAAAAAGCACAAATACATCATCGTGCAGAGTCACAGAGACAGAGAGAGCAAGCAAGCAGGAGACTCAGAAAAACAAAGGAGAATTTTATGAAAACAATGTTTTTGTGGTTGTGTGTGGCCGAACTCCCACCTACTTGGGAGACTGAGGCAGGAGGACCGAAGTTTGGGTCCAGCCTCAGCAACTTAGGTCCAATTTAATGGGCTGAGAATGTAGCTATGTGGCAGAGCACCCTGGATTTAATGTCCAACGCCAACCCCCTCAAAATTGTCCCCCACCCCAATTAAAAACAAGCAGATCAAAATGAACAAAAGTATGTGAGGAGGTGGCTCGTGCAGCTTTACTTAGAATACTGTAAAAGTGGAAATCAACAAGGAGCTATGGCTACCTACTGGCCACCACCAACTGCCCAAACACACTCATGAGGAAGGCCTCCAAGTAGATGGACATGAACACAGCAGTGGATAAAAAGACAGAGGCATAATTGATTTAAAAAATTTTCTTTTTAGCAATACTGGTAACTGAATCCAGGATCTTCACAGTGAGCTATATTCCCAACCTTCTCTTATTTTTATTTTAAACAGGGTCTTACTAAGTTGCCCAGTTTGGGTTCAAACTTGTGTTCTTCCTGCCTCAGCTTCCCAGTGTCCTGGCATTATAAGACATGCACCACCATGCCCTGCTCATAACCCATTTTTATAAAAAGTACTTCATCTATTCTGGTATAGTGTGTGTATCAAATGACTTACAGCATGAATCCTGAAGGGCAGACATTATATGTGTCTACAATGTTCTTTTCATCATAAGCATGCATTACATCTGTAATCAGAAAAACAAAAGCTCAAAAATATAGTTCAGAAAAATGCAAGATGCTAAAACAATTTCTAAGGAGTAAGAACCATCTAAGGTTTGCTAATATAGGTACCAAAATCTGATTTTATTAAGTGAAAAGTCAAAGAGTAATAAAGGTTTAAAACTTGGCCACCACAAAAATTATTAAATTTACCTTTATCTCCTGTGTAATATCAAGCTATGGTTCAAAAGTATCTGAAATGCTGTTGCAATGTATACATTAGACTGAAATAAAAACAAACTGCATAAGATAATAGTGTAATCAATATGGCAGTCTCAAGTATAGAAATTAAAGAATACAAATGCTATTTCAAAGTAAATTAGAACAGTATAATTTTGTTCTATTAGATTGGGAAAAAAGTTCATCTTATACACAGTATAGGAAAAGGTCTTATGAATTTGGCCCCCTGTACACTACTGGATGGAATACAAACTGGATTTGACTTCTTAGAATGACAACGTGTCAGTGTTAAAATTTAAAATGCATCTTATGGGCTGGGGATTTAGTTTATCGGCATGAGCCCGTCTTGGCAAGCGCAAGGTCATGAATTCAATACCCAAAACCAAAAATAAATTAATGAATTAAGATATAACTTATGACTCAAATTTTAATACTGAGAGTTTATCATGTACACCTTTATATGGTAAAAACAGAATAGAAAGCTAAGTATCCACTGATAGGAGAGTAAACCAAATGGACACCACTACAGCTGTGGAACAGCCCATCAGACCTATGTGTGCTCAAGTAGAAAGATTGCTACTCATGTTAAGGCAAAACACAACTACTCTACAGTGGGCTCTCAGCGTGCTGATGAATAAGAAACTACCAGGAGGAGAGACTAGGAACTGGTACAGGGGCTGCTCCAGGGAGGAGGAGGGAGTCTCTGCTTTTCCTTATTTCCACAGTTTTCATTCTGATACCACATGCGTGTGCCACTTTATTGACTTGTGAACAAAAACTCACCTCTAGATCTCAGGTATCCCCTGAACACCTGGCAAATTAGTGTGGTGGCCTGCGTGTGTCTGTCTAACCTGAAAAAGACAAAACACTGATATAAGAATTCTGCAAAATTTTGGATGCTCTAACTAGATTTTAAAAGCACATATATTTTAAAAAGCACAAGAATTCAGAGAGGAAAGCCACAGAAAACAAAAAACCAGTCTGTGTGGTATCAGAGATTGGCCCTGCCTGGTGGGGCACAGTGACAACCTGGGGAGGAGGACGGAAGGAGCTAAATTATGGAGGGACTTTGAAATCAAGGCAGGAATTTGGCTCTCAAGCAAAGCAGCAGGAGGAAGATGCCCTCAGCAGCCCTGTGACCCCACGTGGGCTTGGGGAAGGAAGGGAAGGCAGAGTCTGTCATTGTCCAGACCGGGAAGCCCTGGACAGGGAGAGGAATGCAAAGGGAGCTCCCTGTACCGGGTGTGCGGGCAGTAGCGGGTGGGTTAGGAGTGTTACACAAGGGGCTTGCCCGTCTTTCTCTTGGGTCTGCATTTAGATTTTAGGAGAAGCCACAGGAACTGGACACTGACAGGGAGAGAGAGGAGGCAGGAAACACTTGTTAGGCTGGAGGTCAACAGAGAAAATGCCTGGCACAATTAGGAGAAGCAGGGACTTTTAGACCTGCCAGGGCGTGCCGACATGGAAATTAAGAACAGCGAAACCAATGTTCATTTCCTGACATCTATAATTGAAGAAATTCCAATTGTGATAGTAAGGACATCTTTTTAACTTTTAGCCATTTTAAAATATGCAAATCGTGGCAGGGGATTTAGCTCGGCAGCTCAAGCGCTTGCCTGGTAAGTGCAAGGTTGTGACTTTGATCCTGGTAACACACACAAAATAATGCAAATCAGGTGGGGAAGAGGCAACTCAGGGCCACAGGGTAAAGCAGACAGATCTGTGCATTTTCAGCATAAACACAGGCACAACAAGGCAGAGGTGTAAACTGAAGAAATGCTGTGTGCTCACTCGTTGCTGCCACTGAGGCACGCTTCCTGCATGGCGTCAACCGTGTGCTGAAGAAACTCGTGGGCATCTTCTTCCTCGCCAATTTGGAAGTGGCTGGCTATGCCTGTAAGTTTTAAGGAAAGACAGGGCTTTGTCATTACATATTAAATGCCAGGGCCTCAAAGTTACATCTTATGTTACTCAGAAAACCCCAAATAACTACACGGAATGAGAAAGTAGCGCTCACTCAAGCACCGCGCACTGTCACCAAGGCCCCGGAGCTGCAGTTCCCGAGTCCAGGAGCAGCCGCGGAATGACTCTCTACCAGGTTAACACAGTTCACGTGAATGCAGTCAACATCGTTCTACCCACACAAGTTCATCCAAAATGTTAGGTTAGTGCATCCATGGGGAATATGACTCTCAAATCCATAAGAGACCCTACGCGGAACACAAGTATCTAACCTATTCAGTCCCATACAAATGACCACAGGACGAATTACATTCTCATTTCAATCCTGCTAAATGACTCAGCAGTTGCAAGAAGGAAGTATTTTTAAAAATAATAAAACTCTAGCACAACTGTATGAATAGCAAAAAGCCTATTAGACACTGAGTTTTATATGTGTAGGTATATAAATATATTCTAGCTTATATCATAAAAACTGCCAATATCCCACCAGTTTTGACCTATATAAACAGCAATTCCATGATTCAACTGTATGTGTGTATATATTCACACATTTAGAGCAGTGACACTTTCCTAAAGACTAAGTTGCTATGCCTGCTATACATGCGTGTCTAAAAGTAAGTGTGTAAATAATCAAAATAATCAAAACCTGGCTAAAATTTTGTCAGAACTCAATATGTCTTAAAATATTTCTGCACTCTTTACTCTGGCCCATCAATGATGCCAAAGCTTCAGCAGCTTTGAAGGTAAAAGGATTATAATTTATCAGTATAAAATTATGCATCCCTATAATCACCAAGCGAGATACCAGATTAAGAGTAAAAAGGGTTTTTTATTTGTATGCATTTTCATTACAACTTGGCTAATTAAAATGATGTAAAAGTGAATGCCAAACGCACCCAGAGCCTGGTGTGGTGGTGCAAGTCTGTAATCCCAGGCTGAGGGAGGAGGATCTCGAGTTTGAGGCCACCCTGGGCCCCACAGTGGGACACTCGGCTGCGGGAAATGCAGTGGCAGGGGCACATAGAAAATAGATGTGAAAATTTCAAGCAACCTACTTAAAATTTAAAATTAAACAGAAAAACCAGAAGTTTATTCATAAAGCAGTTAAGCTATGAGCATAAACTTTTGTTTAAGAGTATAATTACCGCTGTGGAGTGGGGACACCCAGACCCAAGCTCTCTCCGAGAGTCAGCACCATTCGCAGACTGCGGGTTGGGGAGAGAACCAGCCCTCACCAGGACGTGATCTCAGCCTGGAAACCATATCATTTTCATTGTTTTGTTAGGTGGAGTTTTATTCTCTTTTGTTTTGTTTGATAATGTTAAATCTAATGGCATGAGTAGCTATTTAAAAGATATCAAGACATATATTAGCTATTTTGGATTTACTATTGGCTTGTTTTGAAGTCCTTTATTGCATTCATTGTTTTGTTTTTATTGTTTCTATTCTGTTCTGTTTGATATTTATAGCCTGAAGCTATCTGAAGCTATTTTGAAGACAACAAAAGGCATTATGGTAACTACTGTTGATTTTGTAAGGTTCTGAAGCCCTGTATCATTTATACTGGTTTATTTTGATTGGTCTTATTGTTTCCTTTTCCTTGGTTTTATCTTCTTTAAAGTAAAAAAATCAATAGTAAAGAAAAGCGTACTTTAATTTTGACAGTTCTTGTATAATACAGGATTAGTTTACCAAAATTAAGCTAATTATAAACTATTTGAAGAAACTTGTAGGACAGTGAGTGTTAGACTACTCAGCACAGAAATCCAACTGTTACAGTTTGTGTTTGGCTGCCCCTCAAGCCTCATGAAGTCATGGAGGCAGCTGAGTTTAGTGTTCGTGATTGGTTTGTTGTTCAGTGCTGGGATTGGTGGTGTGACTGCTGCACCCACCCAGGGATGGTATAGAGATACTATATCTCTATACCAGGGGTGGTATAGAGATATAGTATAGAGAAGGAAGGAGGCATGCTTAGCCCTTTTGTCTTTTCACTCTTGTCACTTGCAGCCACAATGAATGGCTACCCCTTAGCCACACCACCCTGCCTTGCAACCAGCTGAGTATAGACTGAAACCTCTAAAAACCATAAGCAAAATAAACCTTTCCTTCCTTCATTTTGAACATCAAGTACTTTGTCTCAGCAATGAGAGAAAAGGAATCAAGACATCAACTATCTGAGAAAAAGGCCTCTGTAAATGATTTTATTAACAAACTGAGTTTTAAATCATTTAAAATTTGCTTACATCAATACTCTCAAATTCATTCCTGGAAGTAAGCATTATCCTGATACCAAAACTGAAGAAGGACCCAATTAAGAAAGAGAATCTTGGGCCAATTTTCCTAATGAACCTAGATGCAAAAATACTCAAGACGATACTGGCAAACAGAATGCAGTAAATCATCAAAAAGATTATACACCACAATCAAGTGGGATTCATCCCAGGGATATAGGGATGGTTCCACATATGTAAACCCATAAATATAATATACCATATTAACAGAGCCAAGGACAAAATCATATGATCATCTCAATAGATGCAGAAAAGGTTTTTTGACAAAGTCCAGCATGCATTCATCATAAACAAAAAAACCCTACAAAAAATTGGAATAGTCTTTATCTTAATCTGATAAATTCCATCTATGGCAAACCAAAGCCAACATCATACTAAATGGACAAAAACTGAAAACTATCTCTCTAAAATCAGGAACAAGACAAGGATTTCCATTGTTTCCACTCTTATTCAAAACAGTCTGGAAACTTTAGGGGTAACAATTACACAAGAAGAAGTAAAAGGAATAAAGGACTTCCGGGAGAACATGGCGGACAAATAACAGCAGCCACGGAGGCTCTCTGAGATTACCAGTTTAGAATTCAGGAACGGTGCCCTGTGAAGATTCCTACGTGAGAGGAGATGTACCCTGCAGACCCAGGAATGAACTAAGCTGAGAGAAACCAACTGGAAATGCAATCCTGATGCTATAACAGGAACAGATAAAATCTCAGTGCGGAAGCTGGATCCCGCGCCATTGGAAGCTGCGATTTGAATTTCCTGCTGCCCATACTGCGTCCCAATTCGCACGGCGGGGAGCGAGATGTGTAAAAGCTCTGAGAGCGGTGAACCAAACGGCATTGAGAGCGGGACTGGCAGGGAGCCTTGCATCGACCTGCGGTGGGTGAGAGAAATGGGGACCCTTTCATAGGAGACTCCAACAGAGGACATTCTGGGAACGAGCAGACTAGCCAGAACAGGGTCCTGCGTGACTTTAGTCGCATATTCCTCTCAAGTGGGAGTGGTGGGGAGCGCTGGGCCTGGTGACGCCGCGGACTAACATCCTGTAGGCTAGCCCAAATCAGGTCCCTGTGTCTGGCGGTGCACCCTAGCAGTGAAAGATTCAGTAGGTTGACCTGGAGGGGTGGGCCCAGCAGAGGCTGCCCAGGTCTGTGTCTCCCCAGTACACTGCAGTGGGCGGGAACACCTAGCCAGCAGATTCAAACGAACTGTAACAGATAAAGAGAGAGAGAGAGAGAAAAAAAAAAAACTGGGCCTCCTACATATGCTTGTATGGAAGGAACAAAAAGTATGGGAAAAGGGAGCAACAAGAAAGGGTCCTCAGTCCCCAATCCTGAGAACACTGATCCAGGAAAGGTAAATGCAAAAGAGAATGAAGACAGAAAACATGCAATATCAGACATGGCACCTATAGATATAAAGCGGTATCTCTGGAGCCTCATAGACGAGTTCAAAAATGAAGTATTTAATGAAATAAAGCAAGAAATAAGTAGAATAGTTAGAGAAATGCTAAGCACCTCCCAAGAAGAAAAAGATGGTGGAATGGAAGAACAGAAAAAAAGGGTAGAATTGTTTGATGGAGAAAATAGAGAAAGGTGTGTTTCTCTCTTTGCTGGTTTGAGTTTGCTGCTGGCAGCCGCCATGAACTGCTGCGACCATTTCCTCAATAAATGAGACTTGATTGGACTTCGACTTGTCTCCGTCTCTCTGTCTCTTGCCCTGTCTCTGTTAATCCCCATTCCTTCTCCAGGAAACTGCCCCGTGGATCCAGATTGACCCATGGGCCGGGTCAGCCCATGATTAACCCTGCCCGGCTTTGCCCAATGCTGTCCTCTCATTCCTGTCTTCTGCTTCTTGACCACTCTGTGTCTTTCCTACATGGTCCTAGGTAGCACACCATGCCTCCTGTCTCCAGGATGTATAAATACACGAAAACGTATTTTTCCTAAGCCTTTTCTGTGCCTCCACCTGAAGCTGTTCCTGACCATTATGTAAAAGAACAGCCACACTCTGCAGGGCAACTGTGACTCCAGCTCTACCCACACGTGCACTGCAGGGGCCTGGTGGAGAGCCTGGACTTCACTTGCCAGGCTCTAAGGAACCCAACCCAGCCCCTGGCACAGATTTATGGGAGATGGATTAGGAGCTGGAACTTTCCTCATAGTGGCTGTATGTCCCCCCAGCTCCACGCAGGTGAAGGTATGTGGAGCCAGCACGTCCACCCTCACTCAGTAACACAGAGGTGTCCCCTCTAACCCCATCCCTCAAGGTCACAGTCAGAACTTGCCGTGTGGTAACAAAGCTACTCCCACTGCAGCGTCAGTGGGGACCCTGAAGAGATTCAACTTCCACTCTCACCCACAGCAGCAAGGGCCCCAAACCCCACTTTGAGTCAACAAAGGCCGAGTAGAGAACCTAGACTTCTACCTCAGCCTGAGCTCACTACCTCTGCCTGAGCAGTGTCAGAAAAGCTGGCTAAAGCGGAGGTTAGATAGACCCAGGGTGCCATAGTATCATGCAAGGTCACCCAGGTTTCAAGGGAAAAATCCTTCACTACACCAAAAACCAGAAATCCCTCAAACAAAAACTGTAACACTCTGACCTGCTTCTAAATGTAAGTAGAAAAAAATTATAGTTTGAGAGAATAACTAAAAGAGAGTGACCAAAAAAAAGAGAGAAAATATTTCTAAAGTTCCCTCAAATTGGTAAAATGACAATGCCAGTAGAATGATAAATCATGTATGGTGAGCCAGGTGTGATGGCATATGACTGTAATCCCACCCCTTTGAGAGACTGAGGCAAGAGGATCGTTTCGAGTTGGAGACAAGCCTGGGCTACAAAGTAGGCACAAGACCAGCCTAAACTGCATAGTGAGGCCCTGTTTCAAAAAAGACCCCACAATTATGTATAATGTGATACCTAGAGCAACACAAAAAGACACACTCAAAAACACCAAGTAAATGCAAACGGAATTTAAAAAAATATTCAAGTAATCCACAACAGGCAGGAAGTAAAAGAAAAAATGAAAAACAGAGAACAAACAAAAAGTAGAACATAAAGTGGTACACTAAGCTTTGGTTCATCAATAATCCTCTTACCTCTAATGTTCTAAATACACCAATTAAAAAACACAGTGGCGCGTGGTGTGCACACCTGTAATTCTTGCAGTTTGGGACCTGAGCCAGAAGAATCTCAAATTTGAGCCTGGCCTGAACAACTTGTCAAGACCCTGTTTCAAAATGAAAAGTGAAAAGTGGACTGGGGAAATAGCTCAGTGCAAAGGTCCTGGATTCAATTTCCAGTAAAAAATAAATCAATGACACAGATTGATAAACAAACATAATCCTTCCAGATGCTGTCTATAGGAAACCAAATTCAAGTGTAGTACTATAAATAAGCTGAAAGTAAAAGAATAAAAAAGATACTCTAGGCAACTACTACTCAAAAAAAGGCTATGTTAATGTCAGATAAAGTTGGACTGCAGATCAAAGGCCCTGTGTTCAGTCTCTAATACCGAATAAATGAGTGAATGATGACACAGATGGACAAAATGGACACAGAGAGGGGCACTGTATATTTAAGGTAATTGATGCATTACACTTTTAAGGATAACTTCATTAGGAAAACAGCAATCCTGAAAGATGTGGTGGCACATGTCTGTAATTCAATTAATTGGGAGGCTGAGACAAGAAGATCACAAATTCAGGTCCAGCCTGGGCAACTAAGTAAGACTGCTTCAAAATTTTAAAGCACTGGCATAGCTCGGCAGCAGTACACTTGCCTACCTGTGAGGGCCCTGGGCTCAATTCACAGCATCACAAGGAAAGAAACAACAATCTTAAATGTGTTTGTACCAAACAACAAACCTGAAAAATACATGAATCAAACTCAAAAACTGAGAGGTACAAAGAAACACCTACATTTAGAGATTTAAACTTCAACATCTTTCTGTCAATGGTTCATTGAGTAATTCAATAGAAAGTCATAAAATATATTGAAAAATTCAACAATATTCTCAGCCACCAAATCAAACTAACATTTATAGAAACTCCATCCACCAAGAGCAGGTAAATGGCAACTGTAGCCAGGTTTGTTCAAGCAAGTGTGTTCCTCATGAACTGGCAGAGAAGGCTACTCCCAGTGTGAAGGAGACACATGCCTCCCTGGGACACAGCTCTGGACGTCCTTGTAGCCGCTGAGGACATGGGAGGCACGCCTGGAATGCTGCATTCCACCCACCACATCCAGCCCTGGAGATTCGGTCTCACTGGGAGAGAAGGAAATGGCCATGGGAGGCTTTGATACGGTGCAGAATCCTAACCCCAGTAGTCTAAGCACCCCACAGGGTTTACAGGTAGAGATTATCTGTGGGTCTCCCTTGAGAGAGACAGGTCAGCCAAGAGCAGGGCCAGATTCTTGAGGTTATGCTGCAAGGCAGGGACACAGGGAGAAGCTCTGCACACATCTCTGGGTGATCTATGCCCTTCTGTGCTGTGTTACCCCACAGCGATGATCAGTGAGCCAGGGAAAGAGCTCATACTCTGCAAGGCTCTAGAAAGAGTGCTCAGGACCCACTGGAGGCAGGCAGCACAGGCAACTGCCACTGTGACTCTAGCCAGCCAACTCTACTGCAATCAGTTTATACCTCCAGCCTCAGCTCACTCGAAGTCCTGTGGGTGCTGGAAAAGGCTCTGGGAAAGGCAGGTGGCTGTGAAGGGATGCAGTGTCCAGGGAGCCTCACAAAGACCCTCTGCAGACCCAGAAATGTGATTGTCCAGACCTCTACAGCTGATACCACGACTCAGGTATCTTCTTGCTGCCACTACAGCCCTGTTTCTGGGCCAGCCTCTCGATGCCACCAAGCCACTCATGAATGAAGCCAACCAGAAGATCACCATTCTGTTCTCACAGCTACATGCCTGCCACTGCCAAGCATTCTGGGAAGACTCTGGATCCTCCAAAACTTTATGCAGGGAAGCCTGGTTCCAAACAGTAATGTCTGTCCCATTCAATAACAGATCCTACAATCATACTGCTTAGAATATATCACTGCAAAGCCTTTCAAACCGTACTGGCTTTCTGCAGAACCGAATCTACTTCCAAACAGTGGCTGTCCCAAAGATTCCAGCTATTGTCACAAAAGCTGCTCACAAGGTCAAAAGTTTTGCAGTTTCTCCTCCCTGGAGGAATATGTGACAAGTCAAGTCGCCTTGTCAAGCCCCAAGAAGCCCAGAGCTGGCGGTGGCTTTCCTTTATGAATCCTTCACTTAAGTAACAACAAAAGCATTTTCGGAAGGCATTTATATCACAGACAGCCAGTTTTGCATCTGCATTTACTGGCTGCTTCAGATCTGTCCCTAAAGGGAACCTGGTGTCAGAGACTAATGCCCCACAGGTCAGATTTCTAGGCCAACCCTGAGGGCCGCACAACCCTGGCTCTGGAGACGTCCTTGCTCAGAAGCCAGCACACATTCTCAAGGGGACCTGACCCTCCACAGATGTGTGGCCTAACTGAAGTTCAGGGCACATCTCTATGGACAGAGGTTCCCCAGGGTCCAGAGCCAGGTCCAAAGTGGGTGACAGCAAAAGAAGCCTCTGTCTCTAGAGATGCAATCTGAAGATAAACTGAAACCCAAAGCTGCAGAAAGCATCTCTAAGTGGGAGGAAAGTCAGTCACCCAAGTGTTTAAAGGCCCACGATACAGTGGCTCAGGAGAAGCAGTGGACATCTTGCATCCAGTGATGCAGGTTTGGTGAGGTCTGACACTCCTACTGCTTTGCTTTAATAAGAAACAAGCGGAAAATTACAACTATGTAACTGCTAAGTCCCCTCCCAAGTGAGAGGCTGTGGTGTGTGAACTTCAGTTAGTGCCCCTCCGTCCTTTCCAGCAGCCTCTGGTGCCAGATTCTGAAGCAAAGTCAGCAAACCACACAAAGCAGGGAGATGATGAGTTATTCCTTCTCCATAACTTCCAACCTTATCTATTTCCAGTTTTCAGGAAGTCTTCTTCCTCTGCGGTCATCCTCCCTGTGGCTAATTCAGAGGACACCAGTGATCAGAGTCACCTGCACAAGGATCGTTCACCTTCTTCCTTAATCACAGAATGCAGAGCACAACCTGTTTGTCCAAATGGGATGGGTTTGGTTTTTAAAAAGCCAAGAGAAGTGCAGAAAAACCCTACAGAATAGCACACATCCTGCGTCATCAGATCTGTTTTTCTGGGAAGTGTGACCTGCCTTTTTCTTTTCTATTCAATTCTCACTCTATCACACAAGCACTTTGGGGAACCATCCAGACCAGACAGCCAGGGAGCTGGACACCTGCTGTGACAGATGTTCATCTCCTGCTCTCAAGAGTCCCATTTCTGATGAAAAACAAGCTCAAGTCACAGCAAAGAGGGAGGGAGAGGTCAGTGCAGGCTGACGCGGGTGACGGACACTGCTCCCTTCCAACAGGACAACATGGAACCCATTATCATTCCAGCAGCAGGAAAGGGGATCAGGAAACCTCACACACTGTGCTTTATGTCCCTCTTTCCTAAATCCTAACTTTGCAACTGCAACCTGAACCAAGCTCTGCATGCAAACATAATTCAATCAGGTGTCATCCTGCCTGCTGCTGTCTGGAGAGGAAACACTCTTAGCTGGACTGAAAAGACTGCTCCCCTCTGGAATGCACTAGAGGTGGCACCGATAATCAAATTCTTTTTGGCAATTCAGATTAACCAAACACTTGACAGGCTACAGGGGCTGGGCAGGCAGATCTGCAGCTCACCATCCCTGGCTCCCCAGGGACACGAATAGGTCCTCCCTCGAGCCAGAGCTCTGCTCAGCATATGTCTCCTGAGACGCTGTCCCTGTGTGTGTGGGGGGGGTTGGAAGTGGAACAGAAATAGCTGTGAAACAATGCCTGTCGCGTTGGGGCACAAGAGTCAGCTGGTTTCCATGGCATCCGAGCAAACCTGCCCCTCTGCCATCCAGGTGTGCACTCCGCGGGGGTGGGAACGCCCCGCGTGGTCCCGCGGCCCTGAGCGCGCGCTCCGCTGCACCCCGCCCAGGCGACTCTCGCATCCACCGCCCTTCCTCGCGCGTCCAGCACTCACCTCCAGCGCACCCAGTTAAAGCTAGGGGTCGCAGGCGCCGCGTTCCCGTGCGGCTCCCACGCCTGCCGTTTGCCCGGTCCGGTACCGCGATCCGCGCGCGCCGCGGCGCCTCCTGCTGGCCGCGCAATGGCAGGGGCGGGGCCTGCCCCGATGGGGCGGGGTCTCGTGGAAGGCGGGTCTAAGAGAGGCAGGACGGTAACCTGGCACTTCGACGCCCAATAGGCAGAAACGGCACCTAGTGGGGCGGGACTCCGAGGAGGGGGCGGGGCCTGATGACTTAAAAAGTTGGCGCGTGCACTGGCACCTCCAGCTGGGTGGACCCGGACGCGAGTTGAGGGCGGGGCCTTGATAGAAGGGCGCGGCTGGTTCTAAATCTAGGCCGCACCCGTAGGCTTGAAGCTATGAGGTAGTTTGACCCATCTCTCCGTTCACATCTGGTAGTAGCATATAGAGTGTGTGATGGGTGTGGCTACGGAATTGTGCCCCTGGATTTATGAGCATCTAAGTCTTTGAAAGGAAACGGGTGGCGAATTTTTTCCCTCATAAGTCAGAGCTATAAATATAGTCACACAGCGATTCTAAACGCGGCAAAATGGGGCCAGGTCCTCTCTGGTTCTTTGGTTCTTTTGCCCTCCCTTGTACTTTGTTTTCTTTAAAAACAAGCAGAAACAGTTTGCGATTCCAACACTTTGGGAGCCTAAGGCAAGAGGATCACAAATTTAAATTCTGCTGGACAAACAATTTAGTGACACCCTGCCTCAGAATAGAAAAGAGTACTGGGGATGAACTCAGTGAGAAGCCCCTGGGTTCAATCTCCAGTACCAAAAATATATTTAAAAAAAAAAAACTCCTGTCCTTAATACTCGGGCTTTTCACAGCCAGGGCCCTTTCCTACTCTAATGCAGTTGCTCGTCTACCCCTGGACATGGTTTCTGATTGCAACATCAGAATTCAACACTGGGGCTGAATTCACGACTACTGGAGTGTAATTTTTTATACTAATGACCTCATCATATTCAAGGTGGGGAGAAAGCAGAACAGATATAGGCACATGACCTACCCTATGGTAGGCCCTTTACTAGGGCCTTGAATGCTCACATCAACGCTAGGAGGCACGAGTTACTCTTGATTCAGATGAGGAAACAAGCTCAGACAAATCAGATTGTTGACAGTTGAGCCAAGACTTAGCTTAAAAAATAGTGCCCTGAATCTTTACAGGAGTCTCATGAATGCCCTCCGCCTTGTTCTCCTGGGCTGGGAGGCTGTAGTCGGAAGATACTCAACACAAAAACGCAGTGTTTAAATAAATATTTGCTATAGAAAAAGACATTACTCCAAAACCCTCTCAAAGTCCTTTCTGCCACTTCAAACACACTTATCACATTATTCTTGCCACTTTCTGCAGCAGTTCTGGAAGTCTTCAGCGTCTTTACTTGTGTGATCAAAACTACAGTGAATGCTGGTGCCACATGCCACCTATGCAAGGGCAGGCTCATGAAAACATGACAAGGAGCACTCATGCACTTTATTCACCAAATCTGGCACTGTGTGACTTCAAGCTCTTCCCCAAAATCAAAATGATCATGCACGGCAAACTTTTGATTTGCTTCAGGACGTTATGAAAAATGCAACCGTGCAAAGCACTCATGAAAGAGCTGCATCAGAAGTGGCACAAGTGACAGAATACATGTATTCAACGTGATGGGGAGAGTTTTGAGGGGAATTCATGCCAATGTGTTTTTACTGTGATAATTTTTATTTTCAAACACACATCATACATTTTGATCACACCTCATCTTTCAATCCTGCTTTGCATGAATGACAATCATCTTAAGATGGCAACTACCAGAGCAGAAAGGAGAACCTACGCTTTCCTTCCGAGGCCTCCCTCAACATGACAAGGCCTCTCCCTGAACCACTCTTGGGCAGAAGTTGACAAATTACCACCAGTGAGGGGGCAGATCTAGCATGCTGTCTGTTCTTTTTAAATAAAGTTTTATGGGTGGAGAGTTTCACGCTTTTGTTTGCATACTGTCCAACTTTTTTCATGCAACAGAGACTCTACAATTCAAAGGCCTAAAACATTATTACCTGGCCCTTTGTTAAAATTTGGGGTGAAGGGGCTGGGGATTTAGCTCAGCGGCATAAGCACCTGCCTTGCAAGCAGGCAGTCGTGAGTTCGATCCCCGGTACTGATAAAAAGGAAAAAGACAAAAAAAAAAAAAAATTGGGGATGAAGAACTTGGTCCAGGTAGAGCTCTTCTTTCTAGGCCCCAAGAAAAGTGTGAAAGCTCGAGTTTAATCCAGTGTCCAACTTTGTAGATGTGGAACCAAGGCCAGGAGCGGTCCATGGTGTTATCTAAATTCACAAAAATTAGTTAATAACAGACTACTTGTTTCCACTCAAAAGGATGTGCAAAGTGTCAGTGAGGCTGTGGAGCAATCACAACCCTCACACACTGTGGTGGGGATGTTTGGAAAACTAGCAGAATGCAGAATCCCCATGGGAACCAGCAATTGCACTCCCAGGACAAGCCCCAAGAGAAATGAAGATGTGGTTCCACCTAAAAGCTTGTCCTGGAGCATTCACAGCAGCGTTCTTCACAATATTCAAGAGGTAGGAATAACACATATGTCCACCAATGGCAAATGAATGAACAAAAATGACACACAAGTACAATGGAACACAGCTCAGCCACAAAAAGTAATAGAATACTGATATATCCTGTGATGCAGATAGACCTGAGAATGTGCTGAGCCAAGTGAGCCAGACGCTAGAGGATGAACATTTTATGATTTCTTTCAAATAAAAATTTAGGATAAACTGTGACTGGTGGTTCACACCTGTAATTCCAGCATTTGGGAGGCTGAGGCAGAAGGATCATTGTGAGTTCAAAACCAACCTAGTCTACAAAGTAAGCTCAAGGACAGCCTGAACTACACAGTGAGACCCTGTCTCAAAAAGACAAAAAAAAAAAAAAAAAAAAAGATAGGCACATGCATAGAAACGAAACAGTTAAGCAGTTTCTTGGGGCTGCACAAATGTGGGATGAAAGAGTGATGTTCAGGGAGTTTAGAGTCTCTTTGGGGGCTAATAAAAATGTTCTGAAATTGTTCTTGATAGCTGCATGATTCTTTAAATACACTGAAGTCCTTGAATTGTATACTAGTGCGAAATGTTCGGTATATAGTATGTGAATTACATCTCAATAAAAATTTATTTTACTTGGTTTTTGAGACATGGTTTCAGTGTATATTCAGACTGGAATGTTTTCAGACATGACTTCACTAAGTAGCTCAGGGTGGCCTCAGACCCACAGCAAGCCTCCTGCTTTAGCCTCCTGGGTTCTGAGATTACAGGTTCATGCCACCAGACCTAGTCCAAGATGTTTTTAAAAAATATTCAATCTCACCCACAAAAAAGTATGTGCGTGAATGATTCTCTTTCTTACTTTGATTGAGTCAGTCCACAAAGTATATGCATTTCAAAATATTGTTATATGTGATGTATATAATTTTTTAAAATTTAAAATTAATTAAAATAAACACAAATTAATTAAAATAAAAATTCAAAAACAAATAGGCAAGAAATACTAACAGTGGTTGCTTCCAGGTAATGGAGTCTGCAGCAGATAGCTGTTTCCAGGGACAGCTGCACCAGTGTGCATCTCACCCCACAGTCTTCTTACCCCGTAATGTGGGTTCCCCTAATTAGGTGTGAAGATAGATGGGTCTACTTTCCCTCCCCTCGGACATGCAAGGAACTGTTCAGCTGCTTTCTCCACAGAAGGCAGCAGAAATTACGATAGTGACTTCCAAGGTTGGGTCATAAAAGGAATGTGTCTCTTGCCAGGCTCACTGTCTTGAGACCCTGGTCTTGGGCCCAGCCCCCATGTCACAGGGAAACCCAGGCCACAAGGGAAGTCCCCTGTGAGTCTATATTATGTATGCCCTTTTATTCTGATAAAACGGTCTTTTTTGACATCTGGGGCTGTGGAAACCTAGAAGGACACCTGCAATCCCAACACTGGAAAGGCTGAATCCTTCCAAATTCAAGAATATCCTGGGCTACAAAGTAAACTCCAGGCCAGCCTGAACTGCATAGCGAAATCTTTTCTCAAACAAACAAACAAACAAAAACATAAGAAAACAAAAACTTCACAAACAGGATCCCCTGCCAGCACGCAGCAGGACATTAAAAAGTCATGTGCCGATGCCATTCTCTAGACTTCATGGAGCTATAAAAGGGAAGATGGAGGACACTTGGGTCTTCCTGCTCTCCTTCCCAAAGAAAAGCCTTAAAAAGCAGGAGGGGCGGTCCCTGCCCATAGTTGCCCCTAGGAGAACCCAGATGTAAACAGGACTTCTGGGGAGGCAGCTAGAACCAGGAATTCGCCCCTGCCTGCAGACAGGGTAGCCCTTCCAAAATTGGGTCTGCTCTTTCCCAAATGAGCTCCATCTCTCCTACCTGCTCTCCTGACCCTGCATGAGCTATCCTAGCACACTTGCAGGCACACATGCTGCCCAGCTGGTCTCCATGACCACCCAGACTCAGGACCTGAGGGCATGGGCCATAGGATCTGAGACCGTAGGACTTGGTCCTGTGCTCCTCTCAGCAGAATTCTAAATCTTTTTTATATTCTTCATTGAAGATTTGCCTCATTTTTCTATTCTTCCATCTGTGTCTTCTTTAGAGGTGCTTAGAAACTCTTTTATTATGTGAAAGGGTTTTGGCCCAGATAGGACACTGTAGCCAGGAAAACCACAACCGGAAGCAGGAAGCACCATCTCCCCTGCCCCTAGGAAGTTACCTGTGATGCCATCTTCGCGCCCCTGGAAATTTACATATGGCGCCAAACCTAGGACCAATGGGCTACCTGTGCATCCCTAATGCCCGCCTTAGGTTCCACCCCAAACCCAGGCTATTTACAGGCCCCCACGCCACGTGTCAGCCGGAGAGATCGCCGGACGCCAGCGGTGGATGTGCCGGTCACCTCTGTCTGTGTTCTTAGAATAAAGGCCGTTTTTTATTTTATATTTCTCATCTTTTGTTAATATTTTTCATCTTTTGGAAATAACCCTAGCATTATGTTTCTCATTTCTTCTTTTACCTGAGATAGTATGTCTGTTCTAAGTTCTTTTATAGCCTATTAGATTTGTTTCTTTTTGGGTTTTTTTTTTTTTTTTTTTTTTTTGTACTGGGGATCAAACTCAAGACCCTGTGCTTGCCAGGCAGGCACTTAAACCACTGAGCTAAATCTCTGGCCTTGAAGTTGTTTTTTTCAGTTGCTGTTGCTTCAGAAACTTTCAGGTGTGACTCTTTTGTGTTGACATTTCCAGGACCAGGACTGCTTGGGTTGGAGGACAGAGACTTCCTTTTGCTTCTTCCTCTTTTCACGTTCCTGGTTTCTTCCGGAACAAGTGGTTAGTGGGGGCACTTCCTGTGTTGGTTATAATTTCTCTGAAGTCAGACTGTTTGCTTTTGGACTATTGGTAGCTGGTAGAGTGCAAACAGGGGTGGGGCAGGCTGGTGCCTCCCTCCTGAGCTGCTTAACTACAGGGAGCCCTCAATAGGCATAGTCCACTTTGCAGCAGGGTGGAGCTGGTTGGGGATAGCTTTAGGGAAATTTAGCTTTAGGGTGATGGCTGTTGGACCATGTATAGGGTAGTACTCAGTCCAAGCAATTTCCACCAGTCTGCTCCAAGCTAGGAGTGGCTGAATGAAGCTGGCCGCAGTTCTGGTTTTGGGTTTACCCTGTCCAACTCCAAAATGGCCCCTGGCCAATTGCCCACTCCAATGGGAGGACTGAGTCCCCCACACTCACCGCTAGCCAGTGCAGTTCTCTGGTCCACTGCTCCCCTCTGCCACCACGTCCCTGCTGAGCCCCTCAGGCTTGCCAGCCACCAGCTCCACTGTGGCCTTGCATCCCCAGGTTTGAACGGTGCTTCTCACACAGCAGTTCTGGCTCCAGAAGAAAGTGCTGCCAGCTACCGCCTTCTTCTGTTTAAGTTTTTATTTTCTTTATTCTTTTTGTGGGCTTCAATTCTCATTTTAGGTTCTTCCTGGGTCAAGGGGATCCACTTCTTTCCTTTTTGTCTTTTCCACAATGCTATATCCCAGCATCGGGACTGTTTCTCTCAGAGAGGCTGTTTACTCTGCTGTTTACTGTTCTGCCATCTTCATGACAGCTTGGGAAATGATCCAGTACACCATCTTCCCGTGGGTGGGGGCCCTGAGTCTGGGGCAGATGGGCAGTGAGAGCGCAGAGCAGGCCGTCAATGCCAGGCCACATACAGCTGACTCCTTGAGCTCCCCAGCGCCACCTCACCATATTTTATGATCACTCCCTCGTGATCAACCTTTTATGGCAATTTCTGTCAAATAAAAGTGGTGTGTCTTCACCCACCATATTCACTGGATCTGGCACTGTGTGACCTCTGACTCTCCCAAAGTCAAAATGACCATGAAAGGGAAACATTTTGGATCAATGCAGGACATGGAGGCAGCCACGAGAGTGCAACTACAGACACTTACAAAACAATACTCGCAGAACTGCTGCAGAAAGTGGCAAGAACAATAGCATAAATATGTTAAAAGTGAGGGAAGGGAGTATTTTGAAGGGGATTCACAGCAATGTGTTTTTACCGTAATAAAGATGTAAGCATTGACTGTTTTTTGGGTCACCTCTCATCAGTTGCATTTTGATTAGCAGTATCTATGTGGGGTAGAAGCCAGCACCTTTTCCTCTCCCAGGGGACCTGCTTGCCAACCTGGGACAGGGTCTGCTGTGCCCACTGGTGACCTCTGTGCCACACTGGTAGCCATGGAAGTTGGTAATGCCACACATCCAGGTTATTTATTTATTTATTTATTTAGAGACAAGGTTTTCTTATATAGTTCAGGTTGGCCTTGAACTTGTGATTTTTCTGTCTCTGTCTTTCAAGTATTGGGATTATAGGTGTGCGCCACCATACCTGGCTACATCTAATATTTTTAAAAATTGCTATTGAGTATTTTTAAGGTCATTTCTTCCACCTCCACTCTGGGAGAGACTTAGGGACACTGAGTTTCTGTGGAAACAGCAAGGCAGACACGTGGGCATTAAACAATCCCAGCTTTGCTCTGCTGGCTAGAAGGAGGGTGCCCTTGAGCAAGTCATCAGCTTCTCTGTGCTTTGGTGTCCTGCCACGGAGGATCAGTTACCAGGGAGGCTGTGCTGGTCACTGAAGGACATGTAGAAAACTGTCCCCCACAGATAGAGACTGGGAACTCAATGCAGGTGGGCCTCCCGCCTCCCCAGTTTCCTGCTCTTTCAATGCCCAGCTGTGGGATTTCCTGGCTCTTTCTGGATCCCCATGTGCAGTTCCCAGAGCCTGCACCTCAGCCTCCTGCTACACAGCCATGGGCAAGTGTCTGCCTCCCAGCCTGGGGAGCTTTGGCTCCCTGCTTAGCACCAGCAGGATGAAACCAGAGTCCATACTGTGAACAACCTGAGGTCCCCCCACTTCCCTGGTCCAAAAACAGGGGCTCTGTCACCACTGTAGGAGAAGGTGCCAGGTCTCCTTGCCAACCATGAGGGGAAAGGGAGCTTCTGGTGTACTGAAGCCCAGGGTTGTAATATTTGTTCCCTACAAAGTTTTGGGGCATCCACACACCTGTGGGGCCCCCTGTGGTCACCAAGGCTTTGTACCTTCAGATCCAGATGCCTTTGGATTCCCAGCCTGGCCCTCCTCGCCCAGCCACCCAGCGCTTTCATTGGGTCAGGTCCCTGAAGCCCTGGGATGTCCTGGCCTCTCCCTGCCACTTCCTGCCTCACCTCCCTGTCCACCTGCCCTGGCAATGTCCACAAACTCAGGCCCAGAGTGTCGGCCAGGCCACTGCCAGAGACCTTCCTGGCTCCTTGGAGTGTGGCAGCAGCTCCCCAGGATCACCCTGGACACGATGGTCCCAGGACAGACAGGAAGCAATGTGCAGCTGAATTCCCACTCTGCCATTAGCAAGCTCCTGGGACAGAGCCTGGGGGAAGTTCTTCCTGCAGTGTCTGTGATTGGGAAAGATCAGGGTCTGGGCTGTAGTAAAACCAAATCCTGGGAAAGTCACTTCATGAATGAAGTTAAGAAAGAGAAAGGTGTACGAGAAGCAGGTCTGGAATTAGAGCTAATGGAGGAAATATGGCCAGGACTCATCAGAATGCCCTCCTCTGTCTGTACCAACCTGTCCACTGTTTGAAATTTCACCGTTAGTGATTGTTTCCCTTGGCAGACACCCCTGCATTGGCTTTTTTCCAAGTGGACTGCTATCAAAACCAATTAGGACACCAGGCTGGGCACCATGCATTCTTATCCTGTTACATCTCCCCTCGATCCTGCAAGGTACCTCTTCATTATACCCATCTTAAAGCTGAGGACACTGAGGCTCACAGAGTTTAGGGAACTGACCCAAACTCTCACTAGTGGGGTTTTCCAGATCTGATCCCAACTCTAGTGAGACACAGTCTGCCATCCAGGAGATCATGCAGGCACCTGGGTGACACACAGGATCCTGAGCGCTGGTGAAGATGAGCACAGAGAATGATAGGGAGCAGAGAGGAGTCCTTAAGTTAAAAGGAGGCTGCACCAGGGACTTAGCTTAGTGGCAACAAGCACCTGCCTGGCAAGCGTGAGGTTGTGAGTTTGATCCCTGGTAAGAAGAAGAAGAAGGAGGAGGAGAAGGAGAAGGAAGAGAAGGAGTGGGAGGAGAGAAGGAGAAGAAGGAGGAGGAGGAGGGGGAGGAGGAGGTGGTGGTAGCTAGACATTGCTCTGTGCTGATGTGTGGGCTGAGGTTTCAAGGATGAATATGAGTTATACAGATGACAGATGAACAATGTTCTCAGCAGAGAGCCTGGCACCTCAAAGTGGGGGGCATGCAGGGGTGGGTGTCCCTGGGAAATGCACCAGTGAGTGCCCAGGAGGAGAGGCACAAGGAGATGTAGGCGTCACACTAAAGGACCTTGGGAAGGCTATAGGACCGTTAAAGTAGTGTCCCAGACATCCAGTTCTGTTCCCAGGAACCATCCTGGTCCCCATCAGCACCCAGATGCCACACTTCGGGAGTTCCCCCACAGAACCTAGGGCCACCATGAACCTCTTCCTAGCCTTATGTCCAGCCAGAGGTCACATCTTCGTGTCCTGGCCCTTGGCAGGAACCAGCCTATCCATAGTCCTCTTTCCTCCTGGCCTTCCAGCCCTGACTCCAGCTGATGGGAGCACTTGGTAAGCTCCATGGGGTCACCTGACCCCAGTCAGCTTCCAGGGACTGGGCATACCATGTGTAGACACAGGTGCATGCACACGCGCACACACACACACACACACACACACACACACACACACACACGTGAGCAGGTGGATCAAACCAACCCCAAAGCAGGCCCAACTCAGAAGCTGTCCGTCTGAGGAAGGTATCAAGGTGGTTTAATAATGCCTTGGGCACACGGGATCCCAGGTGCCAGTGCCCTGGCCTGCCCTGGAATGCCACCCTATCTTGGCCTGTCCTCATCCACCCCATCCACATGGGATTTGCAGAATCAGAACCTTGAGCTCTGAGACAGATTCTTTCTCCAGAAATGCTGAGATTTCGGTTCAGCTCTTGTCCAGGTAGTGTGCAGGCGGGCGGCCTAGCAGGGGCATGCTGTGGGGCACCTGGGCCCTGGCGAGGTTGAAGGACCAGGTCACTCTGCCAAGGCTCCCATACAGGGGAACCTGAGGATTTGTCCCCCAGGTCTATCAGAGAGACCTCTGAGAGGTCAAGGTGGTTTAATACTGGCTTGGGCACACAGGGTCCCAGGTGCCAGTGCCCTGGGCTGCCCTGGAATGCCACCCTATCTTGGCCTGTCCTCATCCACCCCATCCACATGGGATTTGCAGAATCAGAACCTTGAGCTCTGAGACAGATTCTTTCTCCAGAAATGCTGAGATTTCGGTTCAGTTCTTGTCCAGGTGGCAGTGTGCTGTTGGCACCCAGCAAGAATCCAAGTGTTGATGTCACGAGCCCTAAACAGGAAGCAAGTGTTCAAGTTGCCAGGATCTGCTTCCTCCACTGTGGCAGAACGAGTGAAGTTTCCAGGATGAGAAGAAATGGCCGGGCCCACAGAGTCAGAAAGGCCGACTGCTGGCTCCTTTTCTGTGCTGAGAAGCAGCAATGGTGGAGTACAGCATCCGGGTGTGTGCCTCTGCATCCCTCTCCTGCCACCACGCTCCCCACTGCAGAAGCTCCCCAAAAAGGGGGAAAAGGGGAGAAGAAGCAGAAATTGTTAGTGTCAGAAGATAAATGTGGTCTCCAAAGTGGTGACTTTTAACTGCTGCCACCATGATGCCACTTCAGGGCTCGCCAGTCAGCACAGGCCAAAAAATTCCATCAGGATCTGCCCAGGGCACACTGTTGAAAAGAATTTGACCCCACACAGGCTGCAATTGATTGGTTCTGTCTGCCCTGGTCAAGGATACTCCCCATCCCTCATCTATAAGCCGGATGACTTTTCTTGAACAGGGGACAATTCCCCCGTCAAGACTTTGGCAGCTGGAAGGAGACCCTGGATACCAGGCTGCACAAAAACTGCCAGACTCCTCACTAGATTCCTCAAGACCTTAAAAAGCACCTCTTGGCCTGTCATTCTGCAATATGCCCTTTTCTGAAAGTATTAATGTTGGTTGTATTAGAAAACATTTTCTAAAGTAGAAACACATTACGAGGTTAATTGCTCCTCTGTGAAAATTACTGAATCTTTCCTTCTCTGTGGGCAGCCAAAGGAAGGTCTGTCTGTCACTGGAAGAAACCTGACACCCATCTTTTGAGGGTGGGAAGACAGGCCTCAGTACTGTGCTCTGGGATAGAGTTTGCAGATCACTTCCCATGATGCTTTGCTCCAAAAGCCCAAATGACCTGTGGATTCCAGGCCACTTCATTTGGACACCTTGGTCTGCAGGGTGCTGGGAAGGTAGAGGTACCTCCAGATGGCATAGTAGTGAGTACCAGCACCAAATGCCACAAACAGATGCCAGATGGCATGGGCAAAGGGGATCCTGCCGTCGCTCTTGAAGAACACCATGCCCAAGCAGTAGAAGACCCCTCCAGTCATCAGCTCCCAGATCCCTTCAGTGTTGGGCTGTCAGTAAGGACAAGTATAGTGCACAAGTCAGAGGAGCAGCCAGCTACTCTCCCACTCCCCAGAGTAAAAGACACATAGGTGTCAAGCCAGCCTAGAGTCCCCAAGGGGAGTCTCAACACTGTGATGCTTCCAGGTCTACCCATATTATGTCACAAATGTACCATGTTTCTATCAAAATCTCAACAAATATATCTATGGCTTTTATATTTTTAAACTGTAATCCATCTGATTATAACCCAAAGAACTGATAGCATCTCGAACGGGTATTTGCACACTATGCTCACAGCAATGTTACTCACAGGAGCCAAGAACTAGAAGCAGCCCAGGCATCCATCAGTGTGAATGAGTGTAGAAACAAAGGTAGTATACACATGCGGTGGGATATTCAGCCTAGAGAAGGAAGGTCATTCTGACACCTGCGACAACATCGATGAAACTTGAAGACATGATGCCCAGTGAAATAAGCAACCACACAAAGGATGCATATGGGAAAAGTTCATTTCTGTGAGGTGCCCACAGTGACAGAAAGTAGAAGAAGTGCTATCAGGGGCTCGAAAGAGGGCAGAGAAGTTGTTCTTTGATGGTATGGAGTTCAGATTGCAGAATGAAAACTGTCCTGTGAATGGATCGTAGAGTTGGTTGAATGATATTCTGAATATACTTCATGCTTCTGGATTATAAAGCAACTGATGTCCATGGTTAAAAAGTAAAAAATAGAGAAAAGACAGCAGGAAAAGAATAGTAGGAAAAGTTTTTCACACTAGCTTCCTGATATGAATTCAGCTGTTCTCATTGTTGGAGGATCTCAGGAACTCAGGACCTCGCTGTTGCTGAGGATGGCTGTAGTACTTTTGGGGGGAAACTTGGTTCTTATTTTGAGTGTCACCTCTTGGCTCCAGAGCAGAACTCTCGGCCTACTAGCACAGATCCTTTGCCCCACTGACACGGACTTTCTAGTTTCCACCCTTACCTTTGGGCCTTCGCAGCACAGATCCGTGAAACAGACTTGCATGAGTCATTATTATGGGCTCTAGGTCTTCAGCTGGACTTCTGCAGGGTATTTCCATGGAATCTAGGCCCTTGGATGGATATTTTAGGTCTTTAGTGTATGGATATATACCTGCACTTCTTGTATTTGACTACTTGGGTGACTGTTAAAGTAATACTATAAATTATGTATCTTGTCTTGTTTTCCTTGCAAACCCCCGACTGTAACAAGGGGCAAAAAGGGAAATGCTCTGGCCCAAGATAGCAGTGTACAACCACACATACATACTACAACAAATTTAAGGTTCAAAAAGTCCATGAATTGGGTAACATGGAGTAGTTGGTTAAGCCACCTGCCCAGGAAGCAGGATGTCCTGGGTTCAAATCCCAGAGGTACTTCCATGGTTCCTTTACCTGGTATAGTGGTATATACTTGTGATTCCAGCACTTAGGAGGATGACAGGTTACAGCCCAACCTGAACAATGCGGCAAATTAATAAGACCCTGATCTCAAAATTAAAAATGGGTTGGGAATCTAGTTCAGTGAAAAGGCAATGGGTTCATAACTAACTAAATAAATAAACCCATATCAGCACTTGGGAGGCTGAGGCAGGAGGATCATGTGTTTGACACCAAACTGAGCTACATAGCAAGATCTTGTCTCAAAAACAAATAAATTCCACTGGTTTAAGGAGAATCTGACTGGACAAACCCTAGACTAAATCACGGACCTGAGTCTATACATTGGGTTGTAGAGAGTCAGGGCAGAAATGACTTCTCTAAATTCATTTCTAAACAAATAAATGAGTAAGCAGACAATAATCACAGTGACCTGGGGGCTTCAGGGTCCAGTCTTCAAGAAAAAAATCATGAGCTACAGTGTGATCCATACACAGCCCCTTTACTCATAAAATCTACCAAACATTTAAAGATTAACACCACTGAGAGTCTCCCCGAAAAGAAGAGGGAACTCTTCCTAACTCATTTTAGGAGGCCAGTATTACCCTGAACCCAAAACCAGATAGACACCAAAAGGAAAACAAAACAAATCTGCAGAGCCACATTCCTCACTAATGCAAAGTTTTCAACCATAATTAGCAAACTGAATCCAACAGTGAATCTTTTTCTTTCTTTCTTTACTTGGCACTGAACTCAAGGCCTTTACACTGACCTAATTTCTCTAGCCCTTTTTTTGTTTTTTATTTGTTTTCATGAGACAGGCTCTTACTATAGCCCAGTCTGGCCTCAAACTCATGTCTATCTTCCTGCCTCAGCCTCCTGATTGCCAGAGTTACAGGTATGTACTACCACATCTGGCACAAAATCCTTTAATTCTGAGACAAGATTTCACTAAGTAGCTAAATTATCCACACTGGGTTTGGACTCACAATCCTCACACCTTAGTCTCCTAGAGTGCTGAGATTATAGAGGTTATCCCCCCATGCCTGGCTGACAGCAAATCTTTTAAAAATTATATATCATGATCAAGTAACGTTTTATCCCAGAAGATCAATCAGAATAATATACTACAGTAATAAAATAAAAAACAAAGCCACAAGAGCATCTAATAGATGCAGAAATCTTTGGACACAACTAGCATTCCTTCCTGATGGGACACTTGGGGCAATAGGAACAGAAAGGGATTTCAGAAGTTGGGCATCTCCATAATGCCAGCACTCTGGAGGCTGAGGCAGGAGGATCACTGCAAGTTTAAGGCCAGCCTGGGCTATATAGTGAGACCCTGTCTGAAAAAGTGGGAGGGAGCACTTTAGAAACACAAGGAAGGGATCCTTCAGAGGACTCACAGCTAAGCTCACACTCCATCATGAAAGTCTTAATGCTTTCCCTCTAAGATAGGAATAGGACAAAGGTGTCATTGAGCATAATGGCACAAAAATCTATGGAGGGAAGATCACCACAAGTTCTCAGAAAACTAAAAACAGACAAAAAGCTGTGGTGTTGGTATACGGAAAGGCGTGCAGGTAAACGAAAGAGAATTAAGAAATAGGCTCCAACACTTCTAACAGCTGTGGTTGAGATAGCTCGGACCCCGGAATAAAATCCAAGGAAGCAAGGAATCAAGAAATATGGAGCAAAGGCTTTTATTTCAGGCCTGGCAACGCAGCCCCCTTAGGATCGACCCCCAGAGACTGCGCACCTCAGAGACCGTACAAAGGGATTTTAAAAGCAAGAGAGAGAGAGAGAGACAGAGAGAGAGAGAGAGAGAGAGAGAGAGAGAGAGAGAGAGAGAGAAACAACCAGCAGAGCTGTTAAGCTGTTGACTTAGTCCTGACAGTATCTGGAAACTGTAAAGCTGTCGACTTAGTTCTGATAACATCTGGAGCTTTTGGTGCATTTAGTTACTTCCATCCTGCGGATAAACATTATCTTGGAATAGCACATCTACAATATCATTCGGAGAAGAAAGTAGAAAATTAACTATATCAGGACAGCTCATTAGCACTAACATGTGGAAAGGGGAGAAAGTTACAAGAAGCTGAAACTTAAGTTTTTACAAGGATTAGAAACTTAACCCTATCAGCGCATACAGAACAAGAGGAGGTGCATTGGTTAGAGTTAAGCCATAACATGGTGTTACAGTTGAGTGGGCCCAAAACTGTCAGGTTCTTGTGCACAAGGCAAGAATTGTGGAGGACACACTTCCTCATGTGTAGTAACTACGTTTACTGAAGATAGCGGATGGCAGCAGGAAAGGACAGAGGGCGAAGGGAAGAAGATTGGGACGGTAAAAGAAACTCACAGGCAAAAGGAGAAAGGGCCTCCACGCCGCTGGCTTCTGGTATTTATAAGGTCGGACACCGCCGGCCCGAGGCGCCGCCCACTGTCGCTCTCTGACGTCATCAGCCTGCGCGACCTCCTAAGCCTAAACCTGGATCCTCGTTAGGGTTCCTGGCATTTACAGCTGAAGGGAGAGAAGGGAGTGACTCAGCTCCTTTGTTTCTAACTGTACTAATTTCAAGACAGTGCAGCGAGGCAAGGAAGGAAAGGAAATGGCTTTTTCTTTTTTTTTTGTTTTGGTACTGGAGATTGAACTCACGACCTTGCACTTGCCAGGCAGGCACTTATGCTGCTGAGCTAAACTCCCAGCCCAGAAATGGCTTTTTCAACAAATGGTGCTGGGAAAAGTGGAGAACTTAGTGCCAAAGGCTGAAGCTAGGTCTCTGTCTCATGTCCTACAGACAATGAATTTCAGAAGCACACAGGCCCCAAACTCAGACCCCAGAGGCCTAAAGAACAACATTGTCGTCTGATCGCATATTTCAGTGTAAGAGCACCTGCCTACCATACAAGAGTCCTGGCATGGGAGTGCCGTCCCATCCAATGGAAAATGGAAAACCAGAAGGATCATTTTCTGATTGAAGAAGTCTGCTTGTCCAGGCAGGGTGGCACACACCTACAATGATAACCACCCAGGAGGTTGAGATAAGAGCATGGAATCTGCGAGTCCATCCAGGACAATTTAGCAAGGCCCTGTGTCTAAATAAAGTCAAACGTGCTGTGGATTTAACCCAGTGCTACCTGTATCAAGCTCAAAGCATCACGGGAGTGCAGTGTTGGAAGAGTCTACTACGCTCATAAGGATGTCAAGCACAATGTCATGGATCCTATTTCAATGGGTGGAAGAACAGATGTGTAGAAATGAATTGAAGGGCACTACACTAATATTCATGACACTGATCACAGTAAGTAATCTCTCTTGGGGATTAAATAACATGCTTGTAGTGTGAACATTAACATTAGTTTATAAGTAACATGCAATTACCCTAAAAGGGGACACCTTGTGACACTTGCTCTGTTGAATAGTCACATGGGCAAAAAAAATTAATCTGTTCATTAATGCACTGAACTCTTTAGTTATCTAAAACATCTTTCTCTTAAAATACATCCACTTCAATTCATCTAGCCTGGTCTCTACAGTCAGGGGGTCAACAAAGGCATTTGTGTCAAAGAACCCCTGCCCTCTGTGGGCTTCAAGCTGCTTATAGAGAGCAGATAAGCAATTAGAGATTTCCCTGAAGTAAGGGCAGATGGGGGAAACAGTGGAATGGTGCAGGGCCAGAGGATAGGAGAGTGCTTTTTACTTTGTACATTTACAATATTTAGATGTCTCAAAGAGCTCTCTGGCCTGTGAGATACTCCCTGCTCAGAAGTAAGCAATTCTTCCACACTCCCCAGATCCTACTAGAGGATCTGTACAAACCAACCTTTGCTGAGTCTATATTCCCCACATCTTATTTACCTAACCATCTCACACAAGGTATTTCCCATCCTCTTAACCATCCAAGGGTGAAGTGTTACCCTCTAGCACCTCTTAAACAACCCCATAGAATTACTCCAATTTGCCTTCTCTAAACTTCAGACTCTGATCTTGCTTGTTGGGCCTTCAAAAATCCCAGGTAAGACTTTGGCTCAGCTTCTCCCCTCATTGTTGTCTTCTGCCATACGGCCCACCCCAGATGCTTCCCCTTGGCTCTGACTGGCATGGCAACCTCCCTATTGAGATCTGGAAGGAAAAATATTTCTTCCTTCCAAGCCTTGTTCTTTTCCCTCCTGGGCTTGCAAATGTTTTCTCATCCTATCTTTAACTTCTGCATTCTTAGAATGCAACAGGTTTTATGGACTGGGACTATGAAACCACAAGAAGTGGGAAAGTCAAGCGTATAAACTTAAGGACTTGATGACAAAAAATGCACCCTTGCAAGAACTTTTACAAAGAAGATTTATGGGGTGAGAGCCCTAAGAGACTCTGTCCACATGGGTCAGAGGACCTCTAACTTGAGATGGGTGTTGGTCAGTTCTAGTGGCAGGAGTCACCTCTTAGGAAGAAAAATGAGGTATGGCCATTAGGAAAGGATATTTATGCCAGCTGACACTGGATGACTATTTCCCAGGCATCTGTCCTCAGTGTTTTACACATGTCATTTGCTATTCTCTATAGGACAGGTAGGTGGGATTAGTATTTTTATTTTACAGGATAGAAATACTAATGAAGCACATGGCACATAATCCAACAGTTAGTGTCAATATGAAGGCTCTTCACAAGGCTGCTGGTGGACAGCAGGATTTTCTAGGCAAATGGGTTCGGCCCTAAGTGATGAGGAAGGAAAAAAGGTGCAATTCCAGTGACAGGAGGCCTTGGGTGCTATAGGAAGAGTTTTGGACAGTGTTGGTTCTAGCTCACCTCAGAATCTGAGAAATGGATATTCATCAATAAGAGATGGTTGGTTCTGTTACCTTAGACAACAACTATGCTTTGGTTCAAAGCAGGACACCACAACCTAAAGATAGCAGAGCAGGTAAGAGAGAATCAGATCCCCTATGTGCCAAGCAGGAGACTCATCACAGAAACACACGGCATTCCACAGTAGTTCTGGAGAGCCTACTATTAACTAGGTCAGTTCCCTCCATGTCACTCTAATCCTGTAGGTTACCTGACATCAGCACCTCCTTTTCAAGCTAAGGACTGAGGCACAGGCTTAATAATAATATCTTTAAAATCACATCTGGAACAATTTCAGTATTTCCTGAGTGAGTAGTCAATATTTCCTGAGTACTGAAATTGGTTTGAGTCTCTTTTATTTCTTTTCTTTTCTTTCTCTCTTTTTTTTCTTTCTTTCTTTCTTTCTTTCTTCCTTCCTTCCTTCCTTCCTTCCTTTCTTCCTTCCTATCTTTCTTTCTTTCTTTCTTTCTTTCTTTCTCCCTCTCTCTTTCTTTCTTTTGAGATAGGGTCTTGCTATGCAGTTCAGGCTGGCTTTGAACTCATTATGTAGCCCAGGCTGGCCTTGAACTCATCACGATCCTCCTTCCTCAGCCTCTCAAGTGCTGGGGTTATAAGCATGCACCACCACACCCAGCTCTGGTTTATGAGTTTTTGTAGTATTGGAGAGACCTGTTCTCATTCAGTGGGGAAATTATTACATTTATTCTGGATGTCAGATATAGAGGATTATGTTATACTAATATACAAGGTTCCCCAAAACATGTTTTTAAATGGATGACAAACTGAAGATAGAATAACTATATCTGTGGTAATTCTATACAAAAATCCCTCAAAGTGACTTTTATTATGATATGTTCCTATTTTAATAAATGGAAGATGTATAGAAATTAATTACACAGCATCAGACTAGTATTCATGAAGCTGACCATAGAGAATACAGAATAAAAGAGGGAGTCATAATGATTAGCATGGGTTATTGTAAAATAGAGTTTTATCCTTATCCACACAGGGTTTGGAGCCTATTCTCAGAAAAAATGTATATATGTATTCGTCACACAATAAAATTGAATTTTAAAACTTACCTAAAAAAGACACTGTGTATTAATCACCTACTGTTACATTCAGCCTAGGACAATTACAGAAATAAGTCCATCATTAGGGTGTGAGGATCATGAGGATACTGTTGGAAATAAGCTCCAGAACTCATTTGTTGGTTCGAATAATAAAAGACACTTACACATGGAGAAATCTTGAGAAGGAATTTTATTTTTGTAGAAGTGCACATGCATGAGGTAGCAGGTCCACCGGCCAAAGGAGAGCTTCCCTTTTACCCCTAAGGTAGGAGAAGCATCTGACCTTTGAACTCACTGGATGAATTCAAAGGCTCAGATCTATCCAGGTTGACTAATCTGAGTGGTGTGAGCTGTGGGGTTAGTGTGTTGCTGAGCAAGTTGGAGAGGAGGCATGGGGTGTAGAACAAAAAGTTCTCAGTGCTTATCCTGCGGGAGGTGACATGTAATTTGAAATGGATGGTTCTTGGTTCCTTGGCCTAGAAAGGGCTGCATTTTGGGAAAAGGTCCACAGCCAACATTTCTTGGTGCATAGGATATTAAAGGCATCAGGGTAGTGAGTAGATGGCCAGATCATTTAAATCTGAACTGGAGTTGTTTTAGCCTCTTGTTTTGACAGATATGACAAAGCCTGTTTCCAACAATATGAACATAAAAATAAAGCCTTTTCCAGGGATGCTGAAAGGGAACTTTGAAGTAATGTTAGGCAGGACAGTATTTCATAGTTTAGCGCCAGGGAACTTTACAAAAGAAAACACGGGGTATCTGGGCACGGTCCAGGGCTACATTACATTGTTCATGGTGACTGGAAATGAGAGGTGCTAGGTCTTAGTCCAGTCTTTTTCAAATATGGATCTGGACATTTTCAGTTGAAGTATTTGGTTTTTTTTTTTAGTTGAAATATTTTCTAACATTGTATATAAAATGTTGGTTACTATGTCTAAGGCTTAGATTGTTTTTTATTTTAAATTTTAAAAATAGTTTTTTTATTTTAAAGAGGGTAAAATTAAACAGAACAAAACAGATCATAAGGAAATAATTTTAAGAAACACATATTTCAAAGCAAGACCATGGGAGATCTTCACTGTCTACCATATTGTCTCTTGTTTTCTTTCAAACAGTGATCTACATCTTCACACACAGTGAATACATACTGAATAATATAGTACTAAACTAATCAGAACAGGATGATAAAGGCATTTTAGGTCTTCAAGACCAGACAATAGGGAAGTCAACAATGGCTGTCATGATGTCTCTCGTTCTCTTCGAAATAGCTGTCCATATCTTTACGTGTGTTGGAATTAAAAATAAGAGACTAGACTAATACCACTCTGAACAGTGAATAATAGTATTGCTAGATTTTATATCATAATGCTACAGAATTAGCACTGGGTATCTTAGTGTCTCTTCTTCTTCAGAGTATCTGTTCATTACATTGTGCGTTATATAATCTGTTCTCGTAAACTGTAGAAATTCTACACATGTGTGAATCTCTAAATGTATACCTATTCTTTCTGTATTATAGGAAAAACAGATCAAAACAAGACAACAAAACAAATTCCTAGAAAAACATGAAACAAAAAAGACATATAAAGTCACAATACTAGGTGATCTACAGTAGTTACTATGCTGTCTCCTGTTATTTTCAATAGAATTGTCTACATTATCAGGTATAATATAATTGAACATAGCATTACATAGCAATTTTAGTAAAAACACAACATTGGAGACCTTGTAGGAGTTCAAAAGCAGTTAATAATCAAACCGGAATGGGTATCTTATTGCATCTTGTCATCTTCAGAATAGTTGCCTCTATTTTTAGATACTATCAAGCATACCAAATTCAAATAAAATCAGTCAAGACAAAACAGCAGTCAAATAAGCCAGATTCAAATAGGATCAATCATAGTAAGACAATGTAAGTAATACAGGGCTTCAGTTTAAGTTAATAGGAAATTAAGGATAGTTACCATAGTATATCCTACTATTTTTGGGATAGCTGTTTGTGCCCTCAAATTTAGTATGAGTAGATAGACTGGAACAGAATAAAATCAAACTAAACAGAGCGATAAGACTAATGTGGCTTTTAAATCCTGATACACGATTAACAATGTCCTCTTCCTTTTTTAGACAAGTGTGCTTTGTATATTTTGGGTCCCATTAACTCCTTTAGTTTTTAGATTAGGGGGGCACCTGTTATCTAAGTGGTTCTGAACCTTTTTACCCCTGAGCTTGATCTTGAGCTGTATTCATTTACCTACTAAAGCCTCAAGGTTTTCCTTCTTTATAGCTGAGAAGTTCTCTACTTCACAAAAGTGTCATGACTTTCCAACCTATTTGAAGCTGCTGGATGAGTTGTCCCTATTTCTCTCTGGTTCCCTGTCACATAGAG